AATAAGTCTCACATTTGAATTATTATTATTATTATTTTCAAATTCATAAATTCATAATTTTAATGGGTTTCAATCTCTTGTGAAATACGTTGAAAAAAAAAAAGCATAATACATGCCCAAGTTGTCGTCATGAAGTAGATTCTGATGACCCGGCTTGGAAGAAGAAACAATTAGAATTATTAAGAGCTCAGGATTCTGAAGAGGAAGATCCGGATTGGATGTACGGATAATTTATATTAATTATTTACGTTTATATAAAAATGTCAGTTATAGAAATTTTTATTTTATAAATTTTAGTTAAGAGTATCTTTCTTTATAATTTAACTTATTTTGTATGCATTGTTTGTAGTTTACTCTATTATAAAGAATCACTAAGATTGTTTTATATAGTTCTCTTTTGGGAATAATTATATATAATAATGTATAATGCTAATATTCTAGCAGTTAAATTAATTAATAATTAAATTATTATAATTTTGAGTCGGATAAATCAACTCTAAGTGCATTTTGACGGGTTCATATGTAAGAAAAACTTGCGCTTAAAGAGAAACTTGCATTTAAAAAGCCAAGTACATACAAATACGTATTTCTTGTATATACTCACCAGTTCTTATCTAATTTTTGATAAAAAATGGTATTTATTCGTGAAATAAGGTCTTATGCATTTGGGGCAAAAAATCCAGCATTTTTATGGAAGAAAAATAAGAAATGATAGAAAAAATTTATATAACCTAAAATAATTACAAAAAGACAGAACGTCTATACTCTGTCGCGAGAGCCCCTTTTAGTTCTTAAATCGTATAGCAATTAATAATTTGTTTATTTTTTCACTTGTTTTTTTTTTTTTTTTTTTTTTAGATTATATGACGAAAATTTTTTTATTAAGATAAGATTTTTAAACATTACATATAGTCATTATTAAACTAATTTAAAATGAGAAAAAAAAAAATTTTTTTTAAAAAACACAATCAGGAAGAATAATAGGAAGTTTTATAGATCTATTAGGATGAAATAAACCCCAACTTCCTTCTAAAGTAGTCCATTTTGCAGATTTCCAAGGAGTATCAAAAGTTTCAAAGAAATAATATTTAAGGCCTTTTGAATTAGAAGAACAAATAAAAGTATTTAAAAAAGTTTGTAAATTAGAAACAGTAGGATCAGCAAAACCTTGAGAAGCGCCAGCAGTTGGCCAACCAACTTCAGATATAATAGCATCTTTACCAGCAGTCTTTGCAGGAGTAAAAACAAATTCATCAAAAAATTTAAAAGTCCAAGAAGCAGAAGTGCTTACATTAATACCAGCAAAAAAAGGATGAACATTAGCCCACACTATATCGACAGCAGTTATAAAAGCGTCATCAACATTTGAACCAAGATCAGAAGTAAAAACAGGCATTTTTTTGTTAAAGC